ACACCTTCTATCACAGATCCGAAGGCAAGACATTCGTTGCTAAGAATGGATCCTTTCTAGAGAAGGAGTTTCTCTCGAAAGAAGTGAGTGGGAGGAAAGTAGAACTTGATGAGGTAATTGTACCTGCTCCCTTATTGGAAAATAGTACATCACAGAAACCGGTTTCTGTGACACCTATACCAATTAGTGAGGAAGCTAATGATAATGATCATGAAACTTCAGATCAAGTTTCTACCGAACCTCGTAGATCAACCAGAGTGGTACGGTAATCCTGTTCTGGAAGTCATGCTACTAGATCATGATGAACCTATGAACTATGAAGAAGCGATGGTGAGCCCAGATTCCACAAAATGGCTAGAAGCCATGAAATCTGAGATGGGATCCATGTATGAGAACAAAGTGTGGACTTTGGTTGACTTGCCCGTTGATCGGCAAGCAATTGAGAATAAATGGATCTTCAAGAAGAAGACCGACGCTGACGGTAATGTTACTGTCTACAAAGCTCGAGTTGTTGCGAAAGGTTTTCGACAAGTTCAAGGGATTGACTATGATGAGACCTTCTCACCCGTAGCGATGCTTAAGTCTGTCCGAATCATGTTAGCAATTGCCGCATTTTATGATTATGAAATTTGGCAGATGGATGTAAAAACTGCATTCCTGAATGGATTTCTGGAAGAAGAGTTGTATATGATGCAACCGGAAGGTTTTGTTGATCCAAAGGGAGCTAATAAAGTGTGCAAGCTCCAGCGATCCATTTATGGACTGGTGCAAGCCTCTCGTAGTTGGAATAAACGCTTTGATAGTGTTATCAAAGCATTTGGTTTTGTACAGACTTTTGGAGAAGCCTGTATTTACAAGAAAGTGAGTGGGAGCTCTATAGCATTTCTGATATTATATGTGGATGACATATTACTGATTGGAAATGACATAGAATTTCTGGATAGCATAAAGGGATACTTGAATAAGAGTTTTTCAATGAAAGACCTCGGTGAAGCTGCTTACATATTGGGTATTAAGATCTATAGAGATAGATCAAGACGCTTAATTGGACTTTCACAAAGCACATACCTTGACAAAGTTTTGAAGAAGTTCAAAATGGATCAAGTAAAGAAAGGTTTCTTCCTGTGTTACAAGGTGTGAAGTTGAGTAAGACTCAATGTCCGACCACCACAGAAGATAGAGAGAAAATGAAAGATGTTCCCTATGCTTCAGCCATAGGCTCTATCATGTATGCAATGTTGTGTACCAGACCTGATGTGTGGCTTGCTATAAGTCTAGCAGGGAGGTACCAAAGTAATCCAGGAGTGGATCACTGGACAGCGGTCAAGAACATCTTGAAGTACCTGAAAAGGACTAAGGATATGTTTCTCGTATATGGAGGTGACAAAGAGCTCATCGTAAATGGTTACGTAGATGCTAGCTTTGACACTGATCCGGACGATTCTAAATCGCAAACCGGATATGTGTTTATACTGAATGGTGGAGCTGTCAGTTGGTGCAGTTCTAAACAAAGCGTCGTGGCGGGATCTACATGTGAAGCGGAGTACATAGCTGCTTCGGAAGCAACAAATGAAGGAGTCTGGATGAAGGAGTTCATATCCGATCTAGGTGTCATACCTAGTGCATCGGGTCCAATGAAAATCTTTTGTGACAATACTGGTGCAATTGCCTTGGCGAAGGAATCCAGATTTCACAAGAGAACCAAGCACATCAAGAGACGCTTCAATTCTATTCGGGATTTAGTCCAAGTGGGAGACATAGAAATTTGCAAGATACATATGGATCTGAATGTTGCAGACCCGCTGACTAAGCCTCTTCCACGAGCAAAACATGATCAGCACCAAGGCTCCATGGGTGTTAGAATCATTACTGTGTAATCTAGATTATTAACTCTAGTGCAACTGGGAGACTGAAGGAAATATGCCCTAGAGGCAATAATGAAGTTATTATTTATTTCCTTATATCATGATAAATGTTTATTATTCATGCTAGAATAGTATTAATCGGAAACATAATACATGTGTGAATACATAGACAAACAGAGTGTCACTAGTATGCCTCTACTTGACTAGCTCGTTGATCGAAGATGGTTATGTTTCCTAACCATAGACATGAGTTGTCATTTGATTAACGGGATCGCATCATTAGGAGAATGATGTGATTGACTTGACCCATTCCGTTAGCTTAGCACTTGATCGTTTAGTTTGTTGCTATTGCTTTCTTCATAACTTATACATGTTCCTATGACTATGAGATTATGCAACTCCCGTTTACCGGAGGAACACTTTGTGTGCTACCAAACGTCACAACGTAACTGGGTGATTATAAAGGTGCTCTACATGTGTCTCTGAAGGTACTTGTTGGGTTGGCATATTTCGAGATTAGGATTTGTCACTCCGATTATCGGAGAGGTATCTCTGGGCCCTCTCGGTAATGCACATCACTCAAGCCTTGCAAGCATTGCAACTAATAAGTTAGTGGCGGGATGATGTATTACAGAACAAGTAAAGAGACCTGCCAGTAACGAGATTGGACTAGGTATTGAGATACCGACGATCGAATCTCGGGCAAGTAACATACCGATGACAAAGGGAACAACGTATGTTGTTATGCGGTCTGACCGATAAAGATCTTTGTAGAATATGTAGGAACCAATATGAGCATCCAGGTTCCGCTATTGGTTATTGACCGGAGACGTGTCTCGGTCATGTCTACATAGTTCTCGAACCCGTAGGGTCCGCACGCTTAAAGTTTGGTGACGATCATAATTAGGGTTTTTGTGTTTTGATGTACCGAAGGTTGTTCGGAGTCTCGGATGTGATCACGGACATGACGAGGAGTCTCAAAATGGTGGAGACATAAAGATTGATATATTGGAAGCCTATATTTGGATATCGAAAACGTTCTGGGTGAAATCGAAATTTTACCGGAGTACCGGGGGGTTACCGGAACCCCCCGGGGGTTAATGGGCCTACATGGGCCCTAAGGGAGAAGAGGAGGGCCGGCCAGGGCTGGCCGCGCGCCCCCTCCCCCCTAGTCCGAATAGGACAAGGAAAGGGGGGGCGGCGCCCCCCTTTCCTCTTTCCCCCTTCCCCTTTCCTTCTCCAACAAGGCAAGAGGGGGGAGTCCTACTCGCGGTGGGAGTAGGAATCCTCCAGGCGCACCCCTAGGGGCCGGCCGCACCTCCCCCTCTCCCTCCTTTATATACGGGGGCAAGGGGGCATCCCATGACACACAATTTGATCTTCGTGATCGTTCCTTAGCCGTGTGCGGTGCCCCCTTCCACCACATTCCATCTTGGTCATATCGTAGCGGTGCTTAGGCGAAGCCCTGCGTCAGTAGAACATCATCACCGTCATCACGCCGTCGTGCTGACGAAACTCTCCCTCAACACTCGGCTGGATCGGAGCTCGAGGGACGTCACCGAGTTGAACGTGTGCAGAACTCTGAGGTGTCGTACGTTCGGTACTTGGATCGGTCGGATCGGGAAGACGTACGACTACTTCCTCTACGTTGTGTCAACGCTTCCGTTGCCGGTCTATGAGGGTACGTAGACAACACTCTCCCCTCTCGTTGCTATGCATCACCATGATCTTGCGTGTGCGTAGATTTTTTTTTGAAATTACTACGTTACCCAACAGTTTTGTTGGTTGAATGCAAGCATAGACTCTACATGTGGCACGGAGCAAAAGGAATATGTGAAATTGCATCCTATCAATACCACCCGCAATGTGGCCACTCTCCAACATAGATGGTCCACCGTCCAAGACAACTTGAACAAGTTTGTCGGCCACTATGCTTCCGTGATTGGCCGGAATCAAAGTGGGATTGGAGTCGCAAGTCACGCAAGTTGAATTTCTTTTGTTTTTTCATAATTTGTATCGCTAGTTTTTATGTCACATTCTCATGATTACTTATTGTTTGATAGATGGTATTGGTGACTACTTTATACCAACAAACCGAGAAGAAGCCATTCGGTTTTAGTCATTGTTGGATGAAATTGAATGGCAAACCAAAGTGGATACAACTTGTGCAAGACCTCAAAACCTGCAACAAGAGATTGAAGAAAAATGATGGCTCAAACTCCCAACAATCGATTGGATTGGATGAGGACTCGAGAAGGCCTAGACTTTTGGATCATTTGAGGTTAAGAAGGAGAGGTTGCAACTTGCTCAAGACACAGAGCATTCGAGCATAATATTAACGGACACAAGCCTCTTTGATGTGGAAGGCAGAAGGTGGCTTGAGGGGGATAAGAAGAAGATCAGCTTACATAAGGAGTATGAGGTGGCCGAAACAGCAGACGCGGCAAAGATGGCGTTTGACGAGCGATTCATCGTGTTGACCAGCCATGGCCCGGACAATGAAATTCATTTTGGCATGTCTAGATCGTTAAATTGAGATTTATTTATTTTATTCTCTGTTGTATTGTTATATGTGATGAATTTGTGCTATATGATCGACGCACATGGATTTGAGGGTTTGATGATGAAAGTGGTCGTCCGGCGAGACATTTGAGGGTCATTCAACGTTGTTCTGGGATGCGCACAGACACGTCTGCGAATGTTTAGGGGACCAGATTTGCTAAGTCCTGCTGTGATGCTCTTATAGCCTTAAAAAAAGGTCTCACTACAAATTTAATGTCAGATTTTTTAACACCGGCAAACCGAATGTTTTTTTTTGGCAAATTACGTGTCATGAGCTTTTGTGATGCTTGCTGAAAGAAATTGCCATGCCGGTAAAAGTCTTGGATTCCATACTTAAAAATCTGGTATCTGATTTTTAGCATTTCCAAAGAGAAAAAAAACAGATCATTTACCAAAACCTTTGATTTGTCACACCACCAAACGACGAAAGACAAAGCAGCCACAAACCAACCAACCACGCTTCAAGCTTCCACTTGTTTCCCTCCTCCCCGCTCCATCCCTTCCGCCGCCGGGGCGAGGCGCCTCGCCATCGCTCTCAGGGCGGTGGCCGGTGGGGCCCGCTCGGCAGCGGCCATGCGCGCCCGCTTCCTTCCGGTAATCTCGCGCCCCCACTCCCACCTTCGGTCCACGCGCAATTGCTGCCTTGGATCAATCAACAATAATATATTTGCTCCCGGCTAACCACACCATGACACCACCACCTTTGATAAACACCACTGCTCCATCACCAGCTACTAGCGCGGCAGTGGCAACATCAGGGGAGCAGCTCAAGCGGTGCGAGGAGAGGCTGCTGCGGGCGCCACCAGTGCGGGGAGACGCGGAGGGGGCTAGCGACGGCGGCGGCGAGGTGGTGGCACGTCGGTAGGAGGGGGTTCGCGGCATCGGCGGAGGCGGGTGCGAAGGGGGAGATGGAGAGCACCATGAAGGAGATACGGGGAGGCGGGGCGCCGTGCGTGCTGGACATGGACGACGCGGCGACGGTGGGCGGCGGCGTCGAGGACACCTACGGCGAGGACCGCGCCACCGAGGAGCAGCTCGTCACGCCGTGGACCGTCTCTGTCGCGAGGTGAGCGTCCCAGTCGGTGGGTTTACTTCGCTCGGTTCATTTTTAGGGATAAGCTTTCTGATCCGCCGTGGCCTGGGCCCTAGCGGCAGGTGTTTCTGTTTCTTCCCCAAGGCAAACGATTTAGTAGGAGGTTAAGGCGTTTTGTGTCTTCTGGTTATCGGAATTTCGCACGGTTTTATCGATTCTCACCTGCCAATTTTTCATAAATTTCAGTCACCTAATGTTGCAGTATTGAACTTGGAAGTGTGCAATTTCAGAAGAAGAAAATAAACGCAATTGCAATCTTACTCTTTAAGTTATGTATATGATGGTCCGATGCTTCAAAAGATGACTAGGATGAAATAAAAAGTCATGCAACTTAGAAATAGACAAGTCCTAAAAAAAATCTGCTGAAGGAATAGTTATTGGTATTTTTTATCCTACTAGGCGGCAACTGACGACAATTGACAGGAAAAATGTTTTAAATCATGATACTTCGTGTTTTCATATGAAACTGTGATATGTTTTGATTTTCATATGAAACTGTGATATGACGACATACGAAATAAAAAATCATGCAACTTAGAATTAGACAGGCCCTTAAAAAAAATATGCTGAGGGAATAGTTATTTGTATTTTTTTTATCCTACTAGGTGGTAACTGACGACAATTGACAGGATTTTTTTTTTAAATCATGATGCTTGGTGTTTTCATATGAAACTGTGATATGTTTTGATTTTGCATCCCTGAGGTCGCCAAACTGATTTGATCTTAAGTATGTGGTAGTTGACACTACACAATAGTACTTCGCCTAATCATAAAACTGGCATGGTAGAATTTGAGTCATTTACCAATGGAAATGCATGATCACCCTTAGGTAAGGAGAAATTTGTGGGCCATATATATGCTCAAATGGAAATTCTACCTTGTTTGGTGTGTGGCAGTGGTTACAATTTGTTGAGGGATCCACGCTACAACAAGGGGCTTGCCTTCACAGAGAAGGAGCGCGAGACACACTACCTTCGTGGCCTTCTGCCACCAACCGTCATATCCCAGGAGCTGCAGGTCTGACAATTCTCGATTCTTAATTTCATTTGTGGGCTCATCTCTGATCCAGTGCACTATGATATTATCAGGAGAGGAAGATCATGCATAATATTCGCCAGTACCAGCTACCTCTGCAGCGTTACATGGCTATGATGGACCTTCAAGTAACTGCTCACTATATTGTTCTTAGCTTCCATAGTGTAGCTGATGTGAGAAATCTACTTTGGTTACACTGTTGTTTTAATCCATATTGCAGGAGGGGAATGAGAGGCTTTTCTACAAGCTCCTCATTGACAATGTTGAGGAGCTGCTTCCTATTGTGTACACTCCAACTGTTGGTGAGGCCTGCCAAAAGTACGGATCTATATTTAGTCGTCCGCAGGGTCTTTACATCAGCTTGAAAGAGAAGTAAGTTTTGCTTCATGGATTTGTTCGTTGAGATTCTATTTACTGTTCATGTTCATATAGAATTTTGCTGGCTGTGTAGGGGAAAGATCCTTGAGGTGCTGAAGAACTGGCCTGAGAGGAGCATTCAGGTTATTGTCGTTACTGACGGTGAACGTATTTTGGGGCTTGGAGATCTTGGATGCCAGGTATTTTCCCTTTATGTGTCTGAAAATTTATGATGTTCATCAACTTGCTCCTATCTCTTTCAGTTCTAGGCCTTATGGGGGCACACTCATGTGGGCGTATGACTGTGGTGTTCGTGTGTTTCTACGTGTCTCCCTTGTAAACAGGAAAAGAAAGAAAAATATATGGTAAACTGCCTATCAGGATCTTGTGCTGAATGCAATATTTTATATGCAGGGAATGGGGATTCCTGTTGGTAAGCTTTCCCTTTACACTGCTCTAGGAGGGGTTCGTCCATCTGCAGTAAGTTGTCAGTTATACCTACCTCTTTTTCTCACCGTTTCTTGGTTGCATGGACTAACATGTTATTGGTATTCCTCAAGTGCTTGCCAATCACATTGGATGTTGGTACAAATAATGAGGAGCTTCTGAATGATGAATTTTACATTGGCTTGAGGCAAAGAAGGGCCATTGGCCAGGTTGGACAACGACGTTTTCTTCTGCGTGTATTCTTGACTCATTCCAGTTACAAACCTGAAATTCTTGATTGGTCTTTTTTGTGCTATCAGGAGTATGCTGATTTTCTGCATGAATTTATGGCTGCTGTGAAGCAAAACTATGGGGAGAAAGTTCTCATTCAGGTAACCTACATGCTAAGGAAAAGCTATATTTTGAACAAAGTTTGGAAGCAGAAAATACATGCTGGTGTGAAATGACTTGCCCCATATTTATTATAACGAGTTAACGTCTTCTTATCATGAAGTTTGAGGATTTTGCAAACCACAATGCCTTTGATCTCCTTGCAAGATATGGAACAACCCACCTGGTATTCAATGATGACATTCAGGTACTGCAACTGAATGACTGTTAGCTTGGTTGTAATACAGTAAATTGTGAAGACAGTATTTGTAAAATATGATTAAATGTAGCATGGAGTTGCCCTGCAGATGTTAACTGGGGGCTGGGGCTTATTTGAATGAACTATGTTGACTTACTGTTTAACATATTGCAGGGAACAGCTTCGGTGGTCCTTGCTGGGCTTGTTGCAGCACTGAAATTAGTTGGTGGTACATTAGCAGAGCACACCTACCTGTTCTTGGGAGCTGGAGAGGTCTCTTTGAGCTTTCTTGTTCTGACATATCACTAGTTTTAGTTCACACAAAGGGATCACTCTTGCTTTCTTTGGGCTTCAATGTTTTCTAAGTTGTTAGGGTATTTGTATTTTTCCCACCGAGTCATTTGTAGACCTCCAAAGCTGAACTCTACCAACTTGATTAACTAAATTCTCCAAATGACAAAGTGCACAGTTCAAAATAGTGAATGTGTCCCTTATTTGACTACACAATTTTATGTGTGCCAGCTATTTGCAGTTTTGTATTAAAAACCTTAAAATATTGCATCATTCCAATTTTATGGTTCTATATTATAAATATACATATTAATTTCATTAAGTTTAAGTTTCTATTCGTCGGTTTATTGGAGGCTGTGTAGCATATTTTCTCCACAAACCAATATATTTGCTCTGGTGCTTGCAGGCTGGGACAGGTATTGCGGAGCTTATAGCTCTTGAGATGTCAAGACAGGTGGTGCATCTTTTTTATCTTGGGTTTTGCTGTCATTTGCAGCTTGTGCACACATGTCATGAATCTGGACTGTCTAATAATTGTTGCATGTGCAGACAAAAACACCAATAGACGAATGCCGCAAGAAAATCTGGCTTGTTGATTCAAAGGTTAAGAATCTGGGAATATCCCGTATCTCTTTCAGTATTTTGGCCCAGAATTTCAGCGTATTCCTATTTGCTAACTATAGATGCTAATCAATTGACAGGGCCTGATCGTCAGTGCGCGAAAGGAGTCCCTTCAACACTTCAAGAAACCATGGGCTCATGAGCATGAGCATGTCGGCAACCTCTTAGATGCAGTGAATGTATGGGGGCACTTTTGAAAAAGAATAACCTCATGGGTTTACTTTAGTTTTTCTCAGCCACCTGAATCTTTGCAAGCTTCTCTTCTGACCCAAGTTTGTCTTCTGACTTTCCAGGCTATCAAACCAACAGTGTTGATTGGCACATCTGGAAAGGGGCAGACTTTCACACAGGAGGTTGTTGAAGCCATTTCCTCATTTAATGAGGTAATTTCCACTGTGCTAACTTGTTACTTTTGATTCTTTTGAACAATGAAGTTAGCAGATAACTGTGTTCTGAAAAAAAATGTAGATGCCTATCATTCTTGCCCTGTCCAACCCAACGTCGCAGGCTGAGTGCACTGCTGAACAAGCTTACACATGGAGCAAGGTAATGATCTGTATCAGCAGTCAACTTGCTTTATACTCGAACACTGTTGTCTTATTGATAGAGCTATGAATTGTTGTCAGTGCCGGCTTTTCTGTGCTAACTGACTGGCTTAACAGGGTCGAGCAGTGTTTGCAACTGGAAGCCCATTTGATCCAGTGGAGTACAATGGCAAGATATATGTTCCTGGCCAGGTTTGAACAGCGAAAACTTTCATTCCGAGATTTTATCTGCTTCAAATGGTCTGAACTGAACTTTTTGATAATGGTCCTGGTTTCAGGCAAACAATGCATATATCTTTCCAGGGTTTGGCCTTGGGGTGGTGATGTCTGGGGCAATCCGTGTGCATGATGACATGCTTCTTGCAGCATGTAAGTACTCGCCGGGATAGCTAACGTGCAACATATCGCTTATTATTAACTGTAAATATGTATTCACATTGTCACCTACATGAGCTTAAATCAGTCAGATAAGATGTGATAAGAAGAAAACAAGGCATTCTTGTCAACAAGTGACTGCTTTTTTCCTTGCAATAAATTTCTCCACCATGTAATTCCACCAGACAAAATACAAATTTTAGAATAACTACTATTTCTTTTGAATTAAGAAGCTCCTCGGGACCCAACTTAGTTTACATGAAACTGATATACGCATACTTTAGGTTTTCTTGAAATAATACTATGTGCTAATCCAGCAAACTGAATTTGATCCATTCCTTACCTGGAACAGCGGAGGCTCTGGCTCAGCAGGTCACACAGGAGAATTTTGACAAGGGGCTCATTTATCCCCCCTTCTCAAATATCAGAAAGATCTCTGCTCACATCGCAGCCAACGTTGCAGCAAAGGCATATGAACTTGGTCAGCCACCACACTTGCCAATGTTCTCAAGTTATTAAATATAAATGATTACCATCGTCTTTGCTCACCATCAATCCGTCTCACCCATCGTAGGTTTGGCGAGTAGGCGCCCTCGACCGAAGGACCTGGTCAAGTATGCAGAGAGCTGCATGTACAGCCCGATTTACCGCAATTACCGGTGAATCCGCATTCATCCGGCTGTGTGCAGAAACTGTTTGCCCGACTACTTGCTTCAAAATCCCTGAAGAACACCACTTGTGGTTAAGCTGTGCAACCGGAGTTAGTTCAAGCTCTGTTTCGTATTTACTTCCTGTGCTGCCTATTCTGTGGTACTCCCTCCGTCCCATAATGCAAGACGTTTTTGCAAGCTATTTTGGGACGGATGGAGTATTTCGCTTGCCCTGGATGTGATGTATAAACTGCCTTTGTGGCCAGATAAGATAAGTCTTTGTATTTTCATCGGACAAAGTTATCGTCCAGTGCATGTGGTGGAGAAAGACAGGTTTGGAATAAAAGTTTCTACAGTTTCTTCCTCCGTACTATGGCCATTGTTTTCTGCAGGTAGTTGGCCGCATGCATTCTCGGCTCTTTGGTGGCGACACCAGAAAAGATTCTCCTCCTGTAGGCCGTGGGCACGGTGCCCATACATGCATGATACTCCATGTCCATGGGGAGATTTTGGTAGGCAGGTGCGACGGACACCAGGTAAAGATCATTTTTCTCAGCATGCTCTAAGCATATGCATGTCATTGCATGTTTTGAAAAGCAAAAAAAATAAAAAAAAATCCAACGTGGTAGTAGCTTACCAAGCTATGCAGTGTCTGACGTGCCTATGATGCAACAGTTTGGTGCTTTCCTCTACCGTATGGCGCAATAATAATTGCGATCTGTGCATCTTGGGATGTATAAGTGGTGACCTTGACCGCGAGAGTTTTTTCTTTCTTAAATGAAGCTGTAAGATTTGCCTCATCCATTAAATGAGAAGAGAATAGAGTTTTACAAATGATCCACAACCATGGCATAAAAATTACTCGTGCAAAACAATATTCCCTGATTTCTTAGCACCCGCGGTAATCCAAAGGTTAGCCTCATCGGCTACAAGTTTGAGGAGGATTGGCGGCAGTACATTCTTATGGCGGAACACCCTCGAGTTTTTTTCATTTCATATTGTCCAAGAGACAAGCACGGTGAGATAGGCCATTTAACTGCGAGGGTAGTCGATAAGGCTCGTCTCTTGCGGTTTTGGGTGTAAATGACACTGTCCAAGTCCCCATGCTGGTTTCCAATTCGATCATCATTGTACTGTGGCAGAAAGCTGCAGCTAATCATGGGGCAAGACGCTGGCGACAATTCTCATCTGATTGAGCAGAGACCTATGAACTGTAGAAACGAATCTAGGTTGGCTAAAGCGAGATTATGCAGATGCAAATTGAGACTCTTGCAATTTCTGCCCTCCCATACCATCTTGTAGTACTGCTAGCCAAGGGATGAAATAAAGGGTGCACTGCTTTTTTTTAAGGAATAAATTATATTCCACTTAGACTAGGATCCTAGCCATATCGCTAGTCACCACACCCTTGATTCCTTGAACAAAATCAGGGGCTACATCTGCCCAAACATGCGGGGATGTCCATGACCAGTCCTCAAACATGGTTTTTTTTTGGGGGTCATATTTTGCCCAAATGAATGACTGGAACCTATTTGAAAATCCAATTATTCACCGAAGGAACTTAAATTAAAACACGTTGAATTTGGGGGATGATCAGGCCTTAAACTTTCTCTCATGGCTTGAGAAGATGCACATCTTAGGCACTTGTCAACCAGCCATGCGTAAAACCATCATATAACTTCTATTGTTGGACAGTTTTACTATGATCAACCATCAATGATAGATGGTAAATCTTTGACATGACAACGGATTGAAATATACTCAGGAATCCCAAAAGGCGTGATCTCGCACAGTGATATTACTGTACATGCGTGTGCTTTCCTGTTGCAACTGTACGGTGTTATTTATATATTAGCAAGTGTACTGTTTGTGTCATTATTGTGTCGTCTTTCGTGACCACTTTATGTATTCTTGACTTATTTTAGAAACATTGTCATTGCAAAGAAGAACTGTCGTACCTAGATTATAGAATACGGTATTTTGTGTGGAAAATAAAGTGGAGTTTTCAGCAGGAGCCGGCACCATAAGTTACATATAGCACATTTTTGTCATATTATTCTTCCTGAATGAATCAGTGCAACCTATTTGAAAATTTCAGTTATTCAGCAGAAGAACTTAAATTAAAACACATTGAATTTGGGGGAGGGAAAATCCAATTATTCATCAGAAGAACTTAAATTAAAACACATTGAATTTGGGGGAGGGAAAATCCAATTATTCATCAGAAGAACTTAAATTAAAACACATTGAATTTGGGGGAGGGTCGGGACTTAAACTTTCCCACATAACTTGAGGAGATACACATTTTAGGCACTTCTCAACCGGCTATGCGTAAAACCATCATATAACCTCTAGTATTGGACATTTTTACTGTGACCAACCATCAATGATAGAGGGTAAATCTTTGACATGACAATAGATTGAAATATACTCTATAATTTGAAAAAGGGCGATCTCGCACAGTGGTATCACTGTATATATGCGTGCTTTCCTGTTACAAATGTACGGTGTTATTTATATATTACCAAGTGTACCATTTGCGCTATTATTGTGCCACCTTTCGTGGCAACTTTATGTATGTTCGACTCATTTTAGAAACATTATCGTTGGAAAGAAGAACTGGATGTCGTACCAAGGTTATGGATACGGTATTTTTCGTGGAAGATAAAATGCAGTTTTGAGCTGGAGTCGACGCTATAAGCCTCATATAACGCTTGGTTTTCAACATATCTACATTGGAAGTGAAAAACTTGGGGAAAAAATAATTGGCCTGTATTTTGATATTTTCCTGAGAAAAATAACTCGCGTTGCATGCAGCAAGGTTTCCATGAGCGAAGTGCGCGGTTGCTGTCAAGAAACGCGAAGTGCACTCACTGGAGCATGGGCCCAGGGGGAGTTTGCACCCATGGTGGGGCCAGATGGTCAGTGGTAATAGTCAGTTTACTCGGGTGAACCAGTGAAGTGAGCATTTTGGGCTTGAGAAGTTGAGAGTGGCCGAGTGGGACGGTGTGTTGCACTGCACCCTGGTTTCCGGGGGGCTTTTTGGCGTAGTTTAATCATCGGCTGGCACTGCGCGCGTGAAATGAAATCAGACACCGCGCGCTCCACTCCACGGAGGCTGATCGCCGGCCACAGCCAAAAACCACCCCATCAAAAGCCGAGCTCTCTCGTCTCTTTCCCCGGCCGCGGTTAATTCCTCGCCCTCTTTTCCAGTGCCCTCGGCAGGTTTAACCTTATCCGTATCGCCTCCCTGGTCCGGTGTGTGCGAAGCTCTTCCGATCGATGCCGGACGCGGAGAGGCAATCGCCGTTGGCGTCGGCGGAGAGGCGGCCGCACTTCTTCAAGGTGCTCATCGGCGACTTCAAGAAGCGCCTGGTGAGTGCACCATTCACTTCACGGACGGGTACATGCGTTCTACCTCTGACTTGGTTCGCCAAACTGATTAAAATTACCGAGAACAAAAAACTTGCATGCCAATGTATGCATGAACGGGCCACGCTCTCAGCGAGGCATGCATGCAAGAAATTTTGCACATAGGATACGTCGTGTCCTCTCAAAATGACTCGTCCATGCATTGCATGCACGCAAATGCAGAAGATCCCGCCAAAGTTCTGCAAGCACATCCCCTGGGAGGCGTCCAGGAAGGCCAAGGGCCTGAAGGAGGCGTCCATGGCGGCCACGCTGGAGGGCCCCAGCGGCCGGACGTGGCAGGTCGTCATCCGCCGGACCGCCGAGGGCACCTTCTTCACCGCGGGCTGGGCCAAGTTCGTGCAGGACCAGGCGCTGCGGGAGCTGGAGTTCCTCGTCTTCCGCCACGACGGCGGCACCAGCTTCGCCGCCATGGTGTTCGACAAGTCGGCGTGCGAGCGGGAGGACCTGCTGCTCGCCGGCGACGCGCCGCGGCCGCGCAGGAAGCGGGGCCGGCCGAGGACGGCGTCGCGGGCCCTGGATGACTCGGCTGGCATGGAGCTGGTCCCGTACCGTGCGCCTGCCGATCGGCCGCCCCAAGCCGCGTGCTCCGATCGGATGCCGGAGTCGGACAAGTCAAATGGTACATGTTCCCTCTGTTTCTCTTCCTTCTACATAGCATTCAGATTTGGCTTCTCAGACGCAATGGCGATGTGTTCCGTTCAACACAATGCATGTAACGGTCTTGCAGGATCAGCGGGGCATCCCGGCCCTATGAAGGCCGAGGTGGGCGCCGGCGAGCTCCCGCTGTGCTTGATCGCCGCACCACCGTCGGAGTCGGGGCAGCTCCTGCCTGGCCACTTGCCAGCCGGGACCAAGGACGGGGGCGCGGTGAAAACGCGGAGCATCCACGGCGACCTCGCGGCGGCCAGCATCCCCCCTTCCGTGAGGAAGTACAACGGGTACGTGTCCCGGCGGCGGCCCGTGGCGAGCGCCGAGCGGCAGCGGGCCATGGAGCTCGCGCGCGCGTTCCGGTCGTCGCTCCCCTACTGCGTCATCCGCATGAGCACCATGCACGTCTACTACTCCTTCATGATGGTGAGCGCCGGCCGAGCAGCTAGCTAGCCTGCCCCGTCAACTTGCCAAATGGCTGACCGTATGTGCATGCAGAGGTTCCCCACGGGGTTCTCGAGGCAGCACCTGCCCCGGGAGAAGACGGAGATGGTGCTCCGGGACCCGGGCGGCAAGGCGTGGGCGGCGCTCTACATCCCCAGCACGAGGGACCGGCTGTCGCGCGGGTGGTGCGCGTTCGCGCGCGGCAACTGCCTCGAGGAAGGGGACTGCTGCGTCTTCGAGCTCGTCGGCGCCGCCGAGTTCCGCGTCCACGTGTTCCGGGTGGTCGAGCCCGCCGTGCCGGCGGTCAGGCTACGTTTAGCTTGAGCTTTAGCTGCACGCCTGGAATTTCCTGGCGCGCATTGGATCGTCAGAGGCACTCTGAACGAAAGCAATTAATCCGAACGGATAATTACTATTCAAATGCACACTCAATCAAATGCAATGCTGGATCATTCGTCTCCTCCGGTAAAATGCAATGCAGTAATTTAAGCTGATGACCGTCGGAAGTGTTTTCTCCTTGCTTGGTGCCCCGGTGAACAAAGTATCCAAGAAACTTGTGTGTAATCTTCATGTGGACAATGCGGAAAAGTAATCGCAAGAACGTAGAAAAGGTGCAAGTCGACGTCGCTCGTGACAAACCGTGAAGGAAATTGAACTAACGCAGCCTCACCGGCTGCTGCTGCTGCTGCTGTACGACGCCGACGCTACAGGTGGACATGATGCGGATAGATTGGGCTATTCCTTTCTTTACCCACTTGTACTTGTCGTCCCTGCCAACCCCCAAACGCCGTGCGCTCGCCGCAGCCGGCAGTGCGGGCGAACCCGGTTCGGCGAAAGTTGATTGGGACACGGGCTTTCGCTCATATACCTCAAAACTGTTTTCCGATTTCACTCTCTCATTTTTTACCTTTTTGAACGGTCTTCCTTCTTCTGGACCGGCTGCAGCGGCGGGGTCTTCCTCATACGGCCATGTGCTGTGGTGATCAGCACCATGAGATGAGACCATCCAACATCTGCTACACGGTTGCATTGCTGCAAGGCATGTTTGGACGTCCCTCCTAGCAGTGAGGAAAGACTGGGTGGGGATGCCAGATGCGGACTCCGACCCATGGGGTGGTGTGGTGGAGTGCACACGGGGTGCCTGCAGCTGCGAGCACGGCTAGGAATGTTTGGACTTGCTTGATCCCGGTCTAAGAGCATCTCCAGCCGCGTCTCCAACAGGTTCCTTAGGGCGACTTTTCATGCCGGCGTCGGAAAAAACCCTCAGTCGCGGCCCCAAACCGTCGAAATCCTCCGGCTTGATCCTTTTTTGGGCCCGGCGATCCCAGGTGTTCATCGATTTGTCTGCTCGGCGATGGACTCGGATGACGAGGAGGCGCTCGCGGCGCTGCTGGAGGAGGAAGCCGAAGCTGACGTCCAGGACGAAGAGCATCTCATGGTCGTCGCCGCCCTGGCCAGCCTGCTCGCGAGCAATGCAAAGCCGCGGCAAGGTGGCTCGGCGCCAGGCCGGCTGAAGGCAAAGCAGAGGCATCGACTGGAAGGCTATTGCTTGCTCTACTCCGAACTTGAGAGATCCAAAAACCAAGATCTATCCCTCAACTACGAGGGGAGGTAAGGAACTGCCATCTAGCTCTGCACTTGATTCACCTTTTGTTATGAGTAAGTTAGCGACACCTACACCTGCTTCTACTATTCGTTCTGATATGTCGCATGTTATTGATGATGTCACTTCTGCTATGCATGATACTTATGATGAAACTGCTTCTATGCCTGATACTACTGTGCCCCTTGGTGAATTTCTTGATGAACAAATTGCTAGGGCTAGAGAAAAAGAAATTATTGAATCTGAATACGATGATGATAGTGATGATGAAAATATGCCTGTTATTCCTAAGGGTTATTTATTTGATCAAGATGCTTCTTTAGCTATTTTAGCTTGCAGAGATAGATATGAGCTTAAGAGGTTATTAATTAAATGGAACAAAGAATCACTTAGAGATAAAATGAAACCCGATCCTGCTTTTGCTACTTCACCTATATGTGTTCCTGATAAAGATTATGAATTCTCTGTTGATCAGATATAATTACTTTGGTTGAATCCGATCCGTTTTACGGCTATGAATCGGAAACTGTTGTGGCATATCTTACTAAGTTAAATGATATAGCTGCCCTGTTCACTAATCATGAGAGATCACGTTACCTCTATTTACTCAAAATATTTCCGTTTTCATTAAAGGGCGATGCTAAGATATGGTTTAATTCTCTTGATCCTGGTTGTGTGCGTAGTCCCCAGGATATGATTTATTACTTCTCTGCTAAATATTTCTCTGCTCATAAAAAACAAGCTGCTTTGAGGGAAATATACAACTTTGTGCAAATTAAAGAAAAGAGTCTCCCACAAGCTTGGGGGAGGCTTCTCAAGTTACTTAATGCTTTGCCTGATCATCCTCTTAAGAAACCTGAAATACTTGATATCTTTTATAATGGACTAACCGATGCTTACAGAGATTACCTGGATAGTTGTGCTGGTTCTTTTTTCAGGGAAAGAACACCGGATGAAGCTGAAATTCTATTGAATAATATGTTGACAAATGAAAATAATTTGGCACCTCCTGAGCCAGCTCCTGAGCCAACTCCGGCTCCAATTACTGAGCCTATTCCTAAACCAACTCTGAAGAAGAGATGTGTTCTATTTCTCAGTCCTGAAGATATGCAAGAGGCAAAGAAATTTATGAAAAAAAATGTATTAAAGCTGAAGACGTTAAGAATTTACCTCCTATTAAAGAAATACATGGTCTTAATTCACCGCCTGTTGAAGAAACTTATGATCTCAATTATCTATTTGTTGAAGAACCTCCTGATCCCGATATCCCGACACATGTAGTAAAGGTAAATTCTCTCTATAGATATGATAAAGCTAAAGTCCCTCCTACTAAAATTGCTAGTCAGTGCTTGGATGAGTTTGATAACTTTATGTATAAGCAAGATGACTTAAACGCTTATTTTGGTAGACAATTAAAAGAAAATGCTTATATGATTAGACACTTGGGTGATTATATGGCTGATATTAAAGGTGAACTTAAACTTATTAGCAAACATGCTTCTATGGTCACCACCCAAGTAGAACAAGTATTTAAAGCTAAAAAAGAAGTGCTTAATGAAATGAATTGTAAGAAAAATGATTATGTTGTTAGAGTGGCTACGAGAACTGGTAGAATGACTCAGGAACCTTTGTATCCCGAAGGCCACCCTAAGAGAATTGAGCAAGATTCTCAAAGAAATAATATTGATGTTCCTAGTTCTTCTAAAAAGAAGAAGAAGAAAAATGATAGAACTGTGCAAACTTCTAGTGAACCTATTGCTGAACCACCTGATAATCCAAATGATATTTCTATGTCTGATGCTGAAACACAATCTGGTAATGAACATGAACCTAGTGAAAATATTAATGATGATGCTCAACCTAGTAATGATAATGATGTAGAAATTGAACCTACTGTTGATCTTGATAACTCACAATCAAAGAATCAACGTTATGATAAAAGATACTTTGTTGCTAGGAAACATGGTAAAGAAAGGGAACCTTGGGTAACCCATGTCTTTTCCTCCGAAACCATCCAAGAAAAAGGATGATGAGGATTTTGAGCGCTTTGCTGAAATGATTAGGCCTATCTTTTTGCGTATGAGATTAACTGATGTGCTCAAAACAAATCCTTATGCTAAATATATGAAGGATATCATTACTAATAAAAGAAAGATACCGGAAGCTGAGATTTCCACCATGTTTGCTAATTATACTTTTAAGGACGGAATACCGAAGAAACTTGGAGACCCCGGAGTACCTACTATACCTTGCTCCATTAGAAGAAATTATATTAAAACTGCTTTATGTGATCTTGGAGCCGGTGTTAGTGTTATGCCTCTCTCTTTATATCATAGACTTGAATTGAATAAGTTGACACCTACTGAAATATCTTTGCAAATGGCTGATAAATCAACTGCTATACCTGTCGGTATTTGTGAGGATGTGCCTGTTGTGGTTGCAAACATTACTATTTTAACAGACTTTGTTATACTTGATATTCCCGAGGATGATAGTATGTCTATTATTCTTGGAAGACCTTTTCTTAATACTGTCGGGGCTGTTATTGATTGCAACAAAGGCAATGCCACTTTTCATGTTAATGGTAATGAGCATACGGTACACTTTCCGAGGAAACTACCTCAAGTTCATAGTATCAACTCTATTGGAAAAATTCCATCGATTATATTTGGAGGTTTTGAATTTCCTCTTCCTACTGTCAGAAAGAAATATGATATTCTTATTATTGGGGATGTGCATATCCCCGTTGAGGTAACTTAGTGTTATTCGAAATTTCTCCGGTTTTATGATTATCGGAATGAGTTTGTTAACAAGACTTGATCAACCTTGTTAGTGTATTCTTTTTGATGAGCATGAGATGGATGAAACTAGAAGCACAACCTTCTGTACCCCACTTTTACTTTCTGTTTTAAAGTAAAAATAGTATTTTTCTGTCAGTTATCTGATTATCCGTGCAATATAAAAATATCCCGAAAATAAAAGTCCTCAGAATGCCATGCCAATTTAATATGATTTTTCGGGAATATTTGAGGATTAACTGTGCAAAAATTACCGCGGGAGGAGCTGCCACCTGGTCTTTACTTTTGTTGCCGCTACTACTACTATCATATCACTTTGCTACTAAACACTTTGCTGCAGATACTAAGTTTCCAGGTGTGGTTGAATTGACAATTCAGCTGCTAATACTTGAGAATATTCTTTGGCTTTCCTTGTGTCGAATCAATAAATTTGGGTTGAATACTCTACCCTAGAAAGCTGTTGCGATCCCCTATACTTGTGGGTTATCACCTATCTTTTTGCGTATGCGATTAACTGATGTGCTCAGAACAAATCCTTATGCTAAATATATGAAGGATATCATTACTAATAAAAGAAAGATACCGGAAGCTGAAATTTCCACCATGCTTGCTAATAATACTTTTAAGGGTGGAATACCAAAGAAACTTGGAGACCCCGGAGTACCTACTATACCTTGCTCCAATTAAAGAAATTATATTAAAACTGCTTTATGTGATCTTGGAGCCGGTGTTAGTGTTATGCCTCTCTTTATATCGTAGACTTGACTTGAATAAGTTGACACCTACTGAAATATCTTTGCAAATGGATGATAAATCAACTGCTATACCTGTCGGTATTTGTGAGGATGTGCCTGTTGTGGTTGCAAACGTTACTATTTTAACGGACTTTGTTATACTTGATATTCCCGAGGATGATAGTATGT